ATCAAAATCACATAAAGTTCCAGTGCATAAAATGGTGAGAACAGATTCGTCAGATCCTGCTGGACGGTTGCATGCCTACTTATATACGAAACCCCAGAACCAGCTTGAAAAGAATTCTAGCTTGGCAGCTGTGAGGTAGGATCCATAGTTCATGCTTATAAAAGAGTAAATTGCTCTTTCTTTTCTAATTCTATACTGTTTAGAAATATCTGGACCAGATATGAGAGCTTGTACTTACCTTCTTGTACCTGTCCTCTGTTTTACAGCCCATTTCCTGTTATGTTGAGGTATTCTGTTTTACAGCTTCTGCAAAAGAAAGATTTTCTGGAACTCTTTTTTTCTTTTATTTCCTTCCCCCTCCTTTGTTTTGATTTCCTGTAAAAATAAATGTGCCTGAATGCTAAAGCTTTATGAGTTTCTGATTCTTGCCTTTTTCATATAATAAATCTACTTTGATATATTTATCCATCTAATTCTAATCTCCACATGCAGGTCATCTGTTAGACAAAGAAGGAACCTGAAGGAAACTGCAGATCTTACTAGCATTCAGGAGCTTATCAATGATATTGATAACAAATGTCACTCTGGTAATTTCATGGCAATTTATTGTGCAAGAAAACTTGCTTGGGCGGATTTATCCAATAATTCTTACTAAAATATATCGCGTAGGTTTGCTGGACATTGTGAGACAATGCACGTATGTTGGAATGGCAGATGATGTTTTTGCATTGGTTCAGCATAATACTCATCTATATCTTGCTAATGTGGTGAACTTAAGGTAATATTTCCACACATTCATGAAATCCCTCATGCTTATATGCTTAGGACAATTATATGTGCCAGTGTGCAACAGTAGAGTAAAACTTTTTATTCTTTTTTTTTTTTAAATGCTGTCAAATAAAAGTGGGACTAAACATGAGCTCATCAGATTACTTGACATTAAGGCAACCAAATTGAGTTAAAACAAAAAATCATGAACAAAACCCAACATCGAGAAGGTTAAAGTTAAAAACAATAATTATATCACTAAAGTGTAACTTTTGCATGCAATGTGAACAGCACTTCATAATCTTCATTCTTTCTTTCCCCCAAGATTTAAACTTATTACTAAATATGCAGTATGGTGAGTAGAAAACAAGGATAATATTGCTATAGCTCATAAGACATAACTAAATCACAATAACAAAGGGAAGCCTTGAGACTAATGACATAGAAACAATTTAAATCTACATCAAGAATTGATGTTGCAACTTGCAACAATCCAGTTGCAGAGCACAACTTAAATAAAAATCAGAAAATAACAGCTGCATGCATGAACACTAATGGCATTTATAAAGATAAAATGAAAAATTAAGTTACTGTTGAAATTTACGTATTCAGAATATGCAAATGGGTTTAGAACGGTAATAATGACAATTGAATCTATATTTTTGACATGGTATTGCAAAAATGTGAATTTATTTGGATTTTGTGGAGTATTGGGTAGAAAATAAGAGTAAACCGTTTTCTTGAGAGCTTGCAATAGTCCGAAAAAAAGATTACAAGTCTAAATGCAAAAATATACTTGCTAACATGACATGCATAAACATTAAAAGAAACACAGTTTGGAAGCAGACATGAAGCAAATGAAGAAAATTATAACCTAAAATCTCAAATAAAATCAGAATGGGAAAATCTTTAACATCAAGGAAATGATAAGTTTAGTAACACCAAATCATTTAGTTGTACCATGTGCAGTCCTCAAGTTGAACAAATCTCATTAAGTAACCATTTCACAGAAGACAATCATAACATTGAAACCTGCTGTGTAACTATATTGTTGAAGAAAAAGAAAAAAAAAGTATTGAATATAATGTCTCATACCATAATTTTGGAAACAGAGAAATAGAATGGCAAAAATTGTAAACAATTATTATGAGGCAACTTATAATTAAAGACGACAGTAATAATGAAACTTAATGAACTATAATATTAATAATATTTTTTGGGGCAGAGGGGACAAAGACATCCACTGAAACCCACTTGAAAATTCACCTCTTCTTGGTATCCTCTGTAGTTTCTGCCACAATAAATTAAATAGGTTGATCAACCAAAACCTTTTCCTTTACTCTTAAATTGGAAAATAGAACAATGTTAAACAGTGTAAAGAGATCAATAAATTAAAGAAAGGGAAGATCTAGATTAGCCTTTGGGACATATAAGTATAGCTTTAACTTGTGCAAATCACACACATTCATGGAAAAACTGCTTCAATGAAGTTCCTTTATCAGTCTGTTTGCCTGTGCCACTTGAAGTCCATGCATTCACCATGTAACCTTATAAAATATGAAAAGTGCAATTTATCATGTATGTAAGAAGTTCCTAGGGGGTGTTTTCTTTTTTGTCAAAATGCCATCTCCGTTTTATGCCCCCCTTAAAAATTTTCTAACAATAAATAAACATAGTGGCTTGGTTATTCCCTCTGTCCTATAACTTATGTCTGGTTTGACTTTTTAACACTCAAACTTTATCAACTTCAACCATTGATTTTTTAAAAATATTTTATTAAAATAATTTTTTTTATAAAATTATATTTGAAAAATCCTCATTCAGGGTTTTTAGAAAGTATTTTCTCATATTTTCATTATCAATATATTTAAAATAAAATGAAGTCAAAGTTGAAAAAGTTTGAGCCTTGAAAGTCAAACTGGGACATTATTTATGGGACAGTGGGAGTACTTTTTATTTTGTTTGGTCTTGTTTTGGCTGACTAATATGTGGCATTGTGATTATTTTTGTTCATTTTGATAGCAAAGACCAATGCCTTTGCAAGGTTGAATTTTTCTGATTGAGAGTTAGGTCAAAGTTGGATTGACAGTGTAATCTATGCATTCATAAGGAAGAATTGATTACAAATATAGGAGATAGTGAACATTGAAACCTTGTATATTTGAGTTGGACTCACGCCTTGTTTCCGTTTACTGAGTCTCCATGAAAGCATAGATTTTATTTTATTCTATTATTTAAAATTTCCTTTTTTCTACTTTTGCAGCAAAGAACTTATGTATCAGCAAGTTTTACGTCGATTTGCTCATTTTAATGCTATCCAACTAAGTGAGCCAGCTCCCTTGCGAGAGTTAATTATGTTGGCCTTGAAGGAGGAGGACTTGGACCTTGAATGCAATGAAAATGATGACCTCAAAAAGAAAATTGCAGAAGTAACATCCTTTCTCCTGGCATGATTGATTGAAGTTTCTATGTGTACATTTTCTAGCATGATTCAGAGTAACATAAATATTAGCTAATAATATGTGTGTGTGTGTGTGTGTGTGTATAAAAGGGTCTTATTATATGTTTCAATATTAAATTCTTTTCCTTAATGTAAACACGATAACTATCCTTATGGTTTAAAGGGTTGTATACCATATAAATTGCCAAGCTGGTTCAGTTCCCCATGTGTCACTTGTTTGTTTCTTAATTTCATAAACAATTTATACTGTGTCAAGCCTGGTTTGATTGTCTGTATTTTGCTTGTTGCAGTCAGTGGGACCATCCTAAGGGATAACCAGTTCAGTTTGAGGCCCATTTTGTTCAATTCTCCACTGATCTACCACTGGAGCTTGTCTGAGTTTATATAGTCAACAAGCATATGAATTTTCACATCTTTAACTAATTCAAAAAACTCTTGCAAAATGCCTCTTCTTTCCCCTCCCTTAGCAAACAAGAGAAAGGAACTAGCAAAAGTAAAAGAAAAAGCATACAAAAGGAAAAAGGAAGAAGGAAGAAAAATGCATAAAGATATGATTTGTTTGCTTGGTTCTTGTTTTTCTTTTCCTATATTCCTTTTTTTAAATAAAAATTGATGCAACTGGTTCTCATTTTTCATATGTGCTAGTTCATTTGAAAGTTCAAAAAGTTACTTTTTGAGTACGTAATATGTTTGCTTAACTGCAGCTTTCAACATGTGTGCCTTTTTACCCACTATCAATGCACTTATACCAACATTTGATCTTCTGCAGATGAATACACAGCTGCTTAAGCAAAAGGCTGAAATGCTAGAGGAGTATTTCTGCATTTTTATTGATTCAGATGGGAATTTGTCTAGACTTCCAATCCTACTTGACCAGTACACTCCAGACATGGATCGTGTTCCTGAATTTGTACTATGTTTGGGCAATGATGTAGGTTCCAGTGTTTAAATTATGATAATTCTTGATTTTAGTGCCATGGCATGTGGTAGTTGTTAGACATGGTCTGCTTTTTGCTTAAAAGCTAAAGTTAGCTCTCCCTCACAAACTTAGTTGAGTTCTGCAGACGAATTGGCATGGCCAATAATTGAAAGAGTGAGAGTAATGAAGTGGTAGTTCATCTGTTTGTTCCTGTTTTCTTTTAACACATAAGAGTCAGTCTTAAGACAACATTAGCGAATAAAGTTTTTCATGCTAATAGATCTCATTCCTTCTACTCTTTCTTGTTTCTCTACATTTTTTTCTCACATACCTTTCCTTGTTTTCATTTTTTCATTTTTTCATTTTTTTTTTCTTCTCTCTCTCTCTCCCCCCCCCCCTTTTTCTGTCTTTTTCAGAGACTTCACCAAGACCTCTCTGTTGATTCTTGGCTGCCAACAGTTGTGTTGTCGGTGACAGTGCGAACTCCCCCTCTTCATTTCTCTTTCTCTTTTTCCTCCTCCCTCCCTCATTGTACTCCTAATGTCTAAACTTCACTGTCTTTCGCTTATAGAATATGCTGCCAGCCTCTCTCTCTCTCTCTCTCTCTCTCTCTCTCTCCCGTTGTCTTTTTCCTGGTTAGTCTTAGATCCCTTATTCTCTCTAGTAAATCTTTATTCATCTCTGTTTCAGCTCCTTTCCTTTTGCAGTAAAGGTGCCAAGGATGTGGTTAAAATTGTGTGATATTGAAGGGAGCTTTCCTCTTAGTTGGAAGTGGTTAGGGTGAACATATTGATAAAAGGGCCTTTCATTTGGACATTTTTGGGTCCAAAGTTGTTTGATTTTCCATTTTAAACATTTATAAAAAGAACGTTTAAGAGCCCATTAAGGCAAGCCTCTGGTGTGGTGGCTTTTCCATTTGCCCCCATTGGAGCCTGATGAGGGCCAAGGCATTGGCACTTGCTGAACGAAGGGTAAATTTGAGATCTCATATTATCTCCTATTCAACTTTGGTGGAGTGGTGCTGCAACTAAACTCAAAATTACTTTGTTTTTTATTTGCAACCATTGTTGCTTAGGCCAATTTTCTTTCATTTCCTTTTCCTCTTTGGCTATTGTTTGTTTTTTTGGGCCAAATTTTTTGCTATTGTTTATGCAATGTGTTAGCCATGCTGGTAGATTAGCAAGTCATGCTTGAAGCGCTAGAAGGAATCACGATAGATATGGATTAAGAAAATAAGTGAAATATATTTTTAGGTAATTTCCTTGGTCGTACAAGAGCTTCATTCCATCTATTTTACTAAGACTTACCTTGTTTATATAAGCAGTGATAGCTGATACTACTTACATCCAAGTGTTGGAAACTTCGTTAATATAAAACTGTGTATCCCTGTGGATATAAATACTTGTTTCTACGAATTTTGATTTCTCCTATTTACTGTAGGTTGATTGGGAAAATGAAAAAAATTGCTTCCAATCACTTGCAGCTGCTCTTGGGAATTTTTATGCTATGCATCCTCCTCTCTTGCCAAATCCATCAGGTGAAGGATTGGAATTTTACAAGAAGAGAAAACATGGAAAGAATCCTCAAATCATAGGAAATTCTTCTTCTGAGATTGGTATGTGTGAATCTCATTGCGTATGTTTCTATTGAGGATAAGGCTCTTCTTAGTAGACTAGTAGAAAGCATGAGAATGGTGATATTGGTAGCAGTTATAATTAAATCACAGTTTTACTAATGCAACTGCAACCATGATAAAATGAAATGTGATAGGTTTTCCCTGCTGCTGGATGCACAAAGGCCTGTTTTAAGATGCTAAAAATGTAGTTGTTACCAGTTAGTATGCCGTAGATATAGATCACCACATTGAAGATAAACTATCATTAAGTATCACACTTAAAGGATATCCTTGGGCCACTAATTAGGAAAACTCTCACTGTAAGGAAATTTTTTATTCATTTGATTAGTACTAATTTAAGTAGACAGTTTGCTTTAAATGTGTCACAATAATAGGAATTTCAAATTGCTTAAAATGTTATTAGTATAATTACAAATTATTACTAGTTTTTTTTACTTCTATTTGAAATATAATGGTGTGGCTTTTCTCTTAAACCAAATTGGGTAATCTTAACTTAAAATTTCACCTCTAGGAACCTTTTTCATTATTATTTTTGTTGTTTACTCAGTCTTATCAGTAACTGAGGGTGCTATTGACAACGGGGCTATGGAGGGTTCATACAATCTAAGAAGTGTTATGCTGCATAACTTGATAATAATTTTTGCTGAGTACTTTGTTATCTTATTATTTTCTAGTTTACTTATGCTTTTTGCTTCAAAGTCTATTTTCAGGATAATAGAGTTTTATGTTATGTTGAATGTCAGGTATTTACCAGAGGAAAAAGAGGTGAAGGGAGGGCTGATAAAATGTTTACTACTTTTGCTCGAATTAACTACCATTCTTTACAAAGAAATAGTTTTCTTGCCTTTCTCAATTTGCGATTTTCCATCACATATCTATGTTACATCAACTTTTCACTTTTCCTTAATGTAATTGTGTCTGGTATTTCTTGACACTTCAAATTTATGTCATCTAAAGTTGTGAAAGTTGACCCAAACCCGGAAGCCTGCCCAATCTACCTGCATCCAACCCAGTTCGATTTGAATTCTTCAAACTTGAAACCAAAATGACTCAAACCCGAATTAGCCTGATTTTGAAATGATCTAAACCCAAATAACTTAAAAGTCTAAACCTAAATGACCCAAAATTAAATTGATTTGATTTTGGAGTTCAACAATTTGAACTCAAAATGACCTGAATCTGATGACCCAAATCCAAATAAACAGTGTCAAACCCAAAAGACTCAAACCTAAAACAACTCAAATTTTTTTCAACCTAAAGTGACCTGATCTGCTCAGTTGACACCTCTAACGTCATCTGATGCTTATATCCTCAAAATTAGTGTAAAAAATTGCCAACAACATGACATTACCCTGCTGGATGCGTCCCCATGTTTGACATCTGATCCTAGTCCGTATAACATAGCATATTTACAGCAGTTGGGGCATAATGCTTATATTTCTTGCGCTGGATTGTTCTTAATAATCAGCAGTTGGAAATTTTATATATATGTTCCATTAATAATCAGGCTTGTTGCTGTCTGGTGTTCACAGGAGATGATATTGAAATAGAGGATGGATTGGAGCATGAACTACTTTCAGAGGCAGAGACTGCATGGGCTCAGCGGGAATGGTCAATCCAACATGTCTTGTTTCCAGCCATGAGACTCTTTCTAAAACCTCCAACTTCAATGGCCGTTAATGGAACATTTGTCAGGGTAGGCTGATTTTACTCTTACCGATACAGGCTGAGTTTACTCTTAAATGGCTTTCCACCTATTGAGTTCCTTTCCTTCCAAAGTTTGCTAGTCTATAGAAACCATATGACTATTACCATCGACATGTTATATATACTTGTCCAATGTTAACTTTTCTTTTTCTTTTTATTTCGGTCTATATGATCTTAGGCCACAGAATGGGAGGTATCCATCTCCCATCCCATAACCCCACTCTGCACATCCTAGGATTCGAACTTGAGATCTCCAAGATGGAGTTTGAAATTCTAACCATTGGATGCCCCTTTCGGGACTTGTATTTTCAAAGTGCGGGTTGGGCTCTGGTTTAGGTTTTCAAAGTGCCTATTATCCAATAAACCCACCTGCTTTCCAAGAGTAGGGACTTTGAACATAAGACTTCAAACTTGAATTTTGAAGTTTTAACAGTTGCAGCATCTCTTGGAGATAATAGACTCCCCATTCTATATTTAACTTTTGTACGGTATTAGCTTTCTAGTATGAATTAGTTTATGCTAAGACATGCATAGTAGAATCAACAATTAATACTTGTGTACAAATCCCAAAAATGAACTAATATTATAGGACAGAGGGAGTAATAGTAAAGTAATACTAATGGAGTAATAATAAAGTAGTGCTAACGAATTATTGAACTTTTATTTCAGAAACTTGTTTTCATTTTCTCCTCCCTCAGTTATTGGGTAATGGGGGCTTGTATACAACTTTATTTTGTTAATAGTTAAGTAAACTAATGAGTAATCCTTGCCTTTTTCAGGTAGCTTCACTGGAGAAGCTCTATAAGATTTTCGAACGATGCTAATCAAAGAGATTGCCTTCTGAAGATGTTCAGAAAACACACAGATGAGATGACTGCTATTATCCAAAGGTCTCCATTTTGCAGTGTGTGATATATTGTGTTCAAGGTCCTGAAAGTATTGCATGAAGGGCTATATGTACAGTGTTTATCCCTTCACCAAACCAAGACACCCATTTCCTTGTACCAATTACCTTTATCAAATGTTTTGTAAATCTGTTATTTGCCCGTGTAAATGATGAAAGCCAGGTTTAGAAAGGACATTGAGGCAAACAGTTGATATCCTACCATCCAAAGCTCTACTGTTTTTGTTTGTTGACCTTGTGGCAGCTAAAATCAGGAAGGTTCCAGCCTCGAGATGCTTTTGTTTTTGAAAAACAGTTTTCCTGTATGTGGCCCACGTAAATTGTAACGGTTTTTTTTCCTTTTATTTTGGTCCAAAGGCCAACTATCTTTTCTCTTTTTTATAGTAACAGCTTGTAACATTTTTTTTTAGAAAAAAAGAAAACAATATGATATAGTCAAATGGGTAATATGTTGAGATTTAAACTTTAAAATTATTAAATATTATCTTTTAAAAATGGTTGTGTAAATTAATTAAGTTAAATTATGTAAATTAATTAAGTTTTAAGTTCAATTTTAGTCATTTTTTAAATATTATAAAAGTTTTCATCTCATACTTTGAAAGACTTTTTTTTTTTTTCTTAAACTCGGATTTGAGTTCTCTTTTTCTGAAGAGTTCCCTTGCTAAGGAGTTTGTTTCTATCAGATCCAACGTTATCGCTGGGTATCTTAGTCTCAACACCTTGACTTTCAAATTTATATCGGGCTGGGTTGCTAGATAAGATAGGTCTCGCGTGAAATGCGAAATTGCCTGTAAAAAAATAAAAATAAAAAAAGGGGAAGTTTCCGTTCAAATTCCTAATAATGCTTTGGTCAATAGCTTTTAGAAAAAACTTAGATAAAGGTTTTTTCAGTTGTTTTTTTAAGGTTTTGGGTTTTTCTATTTTTTGTAAATTTTTTAAATTTTTTAAAAATATAAAATATTAAAAATTTCCATTATGTTGGACTAATGAACTGAATCGAAAATCAGACATCCGATCATATTACACATGAATTGCTAATAAATTGCTTTTGATTGTTTTGACCAGAAATTATTTTTAAATTTTATTGTATGTGATTTTAGTTGTTTAGTTATTTTATTGTTTGTTAGTTGATTATTTAGTGGTTATAATTTGATTTTGATATAATAATTAATTATTCAATTGATAATATGATGTAAATTTGATTATAAATGTAATTTCAAAAAAAATTTGAAATTAAAAAACTAATCATAGTCTTAAAAATTGAAAAGCATGACCAAATTATTAAATTGACACCAATTCAACTAACAATCTTATAAGTCAATATAATATTAAAAACATTGAAAAAAAAAAAGTGCTAAACAAAAAAGAATTATTAGGGTTGTAAAGGAATTGAATATAAACAAATGAATGTAGATATCTTATTTATTCGTTTATTTTTATGAGTGTTCATGTTCGTTAAGAAAATTGTTCTATTTGTTTATGTTCATTCATTTAAATAATAGATTGTTTCGCGTTCGGCTCATATTCATTTAATTAAATTAAATGAATTTGTTCGTGAACATTGAATGAACATGTTCACAAATATGTATAAACGAGCATATTCATAAATAATAAATAAATAATAACCAAATAAATTTAAATAAACAAACTCTAAACGAACTCAAATGAATTTTAAAATAGGATTAGGGTAAAAGATAAAAATATAATTTTATTAGTATTATTATAAACGAACAACAAATAAACAATAAACGAATGAATTTTAAACGAACTTTAAATGATTTTATTCATTAACATAAATGAATCAAATAGACTTCTATTCGTGGTAAGTTCATTTAATAAATGAATATAAAATATTATTCAATATTGTTTGTTAAGCTTAATAAACAAACATAAATTAATAGAAACCGAATATGTTCATGAATAATTTATCAAAAATTATGTTTGTTTAGACCCTAAAAATTACCTTTTACATTAGAAATCCCAAAGTTTTGTAAACCTCCCAGTTAGTTTTATAAATTTAATTACAAGTAGATATGTAAATTCATAAATGCAGTCATTTTAAAAAATAACATTATTAAGTTTAGAATTTAAATTTTAATAAAATAATTATTTTTATTTTTATTTTCAGATTGTGATTAACTATATATATCAACTAAATGCTATTTTTAGTTTTCAATTTTGAAAAAAAAATCTTTTATATTTCTTTAATATATAAAAATAATTTTATTTAAAAGGGATATGATTGAAAAAATATTATAATAAATCATTTTTTCCTTTCCACTCTTTAAGCAAACAATGTTTGTTAGAATTTCTTTCCTTTTCTTTCATAATTTTACCTATTCAAACAGGATGTAAATGTATCATTTCCTTTCCTTTAAAAAACCTTTTTTTTTTCTTTCATTCACTTTCCTTTCCTTTTTTTATTAATGTTTATCTAAAAATAGCATAAAGGAAAAAGTGCAATAATATAAACAAGAATAAGAGAAAGAGTATCTATTTATTTCACAAATTCATTAGCTTTAATTATGTATCCCATGCATTGTATAGATTAAAATCTAGTATACCCCAAAAAGGTAGATAAAAGCATTAAAATATGCACAATAAGATTAAAAGAACTTCAAGAGCAATTTTAGAGAAATAAAATGAACAAAAGTTGATGTACCAAAATTTGTAGTAAAAGGCACCAAGGTTGATGATTTTCCATTAGAAGCTAGATTATTAGGAATTTTTAAAGTTCCTTTGACTATCGATATTTGCGAGCTATCATTTTCATGGTTATTATCTTGCAGTGTAGTTTCAAGTTTTATTTCATCTACAATAACATTTGGAACTTCAAGCAGCAGTCTTAACTATTCATCTGGAGTCTGAAGCAGTTCTCTTCTCTCCATGTATTCAAATATTGTAAGAGTTAAAGCAAGTTAAGAAGAAAATTATGCTTAATGGAAATGCTTTATCTTGCACAAGGTTTGACAAGCTCCAATAGACTTGGTTGCTGAAAAAAAAATGTTTATTATCAACTTTTGAATGTTAAATTATGACAAATAGCTTCGATGCAAAAGTGCATCAACCTCAAAATTATAAAGTCTAAGCTTCATATTTTAAGAGAATATTGATGTATACAATACGCATACAAAAGCACAAGTTTAATGGAAGACTAGTCTAAAAAACTAAAAAAAACCATTATGAGTTGTTTTACTAAAGAACCACATAAAGGCATAAAGGCAAACACCACATGGATTTCTTCACATTAAAATACAAAATCATTAATTGATAAAGGCAAAAGTAGGGGAGATATGCGAGCTTTACAACTTTGTAATGTCTCCTGAATAACTACCATTATAAACATAGTAAAGCTATATATGGGATGAAAAAATTCTCAACAGTTAATTATTTTAAATAAACTTAACACGAAATGTTAGGTTTGCTAGCTAATTCAACAAATTCATTCAATAATAAATGTTGAAAGAATAGGTTCAAAAGTAATAAAATTATTAACATTTAACCATTGCATTTTATTATTTAGTCATAATACCTAAAATGCAATTAGTGAGCACCATAATATATGTCTAGGCATGTAATCAACAGATATTTTAAAAGAATATTCATCATGCCATCCCTTTTCATTGGCACGATCAATAAGCTTTGGTAACAAGGTAAGTTCCATTGCAAGCCATTAAAAGAAAAAGTAAAGAATCATAAGCACATAATAGTGTCAACATGTATAATTTAGGTCTATAAGTCACAAGTATATAGAAAACATAAGGTAAATAGCATTTCTTTGATACAACAACTATTTAGATAGTAAATTTACAACTTCAAATAATTTGAATTTTTTTGTCATCTCTAGTTCAACTAAAAGCTTGAAATGGAAAGGCATTAAAGTGTTATTCGATAAAACATCGAAGATTTTCAAATTATCAAAAATTAAAATTTTCATTTAAAATTATTTTAACGTGTTTGATAACCTATTTTAGAAGCTCAATAGAAGGCCTTCATGAAAAAAGTGTTGAAAATGTTAGAGTAGTTAAAACCTACTTTTAACGTATTCAACAATTTTATTTAAGAAAATTATTATCATTTAATTACATTAATCTTATATTCTTTCTTTTTTTTTTACCTTTTTAATGTAATTGCCAATAAAATCATAGGTATCTTTTTAGAAAAAAATTCAATAAAAAATCTACTCAATACTTAACTTTTAGTAACATGCCAAAACAATTTTTATGGTATAAATTAAATAGATTTCTCAAAACTAAATATTCAACACTTAATTTTTCATTTTATCAAACAACACCTAAAAACAAGTAACTGATGGTAAAAGAAACTTGGCCATCAATTGACACTACAAAACACCAATAACAAGAGAATAGAATATTTAATTATTCTATCATAGCTAAGATGGTGTGAATAAGAATACATACATGCTTAGTTATATTTGTATGTAAAATTTAAGCATTCGCTTCAAATTTCACCTATCAACAATTTAAAATAATTTTGATATTTGAAAAAGTTAATAGTTAAAAAAAAAAAAAAGGAAAGATGAGTGGAATAAAAACTAAAAACAAAATAAAGCAAAATCAATGGGTAAAATAGGGATTGAAGGGTAGAGGAAAATACATAAGAAATGGGTATCAAATATTAAGTGTAACCAAACATAAGCCAATAAAAATTTGCAATAGTAACTTCACTAGTTTTGTTGGCTTGTAAAAATCGAACACAAGAGAGTATACATAAAATATATATTTTAAAATTTAATAAAAATATCATATAGAAAGCTATTGAAATATATAGCTTACTTAATGATTAGTATAATGTCGTGAAACTATGAGAATTTAGCTTTATGAGACATCATCAGTGCCTCATTAATATTTTTCTATTAAACTACTAAGGATTGGCACACCATAATTCTTTTTTTGGGTTTACATATCTAAGTAAGAATCAAACCAGACCCATCTGATCATAAAAATTAGCCCAAGCCAATATCCTTTGGCTTAATAAATGGGTCATTTACTTGAGGTTTTTAGTCTTGAAAGAGAGTCTAGCAATTAAACAAGGCCAGAACTCATAGTACTTAATGGTTAAGCAATAACAACCAGATTAGTTTTGGTTTTAAATCATTTGCCAGTAGTAAACATAACATGTATCCAACAAATATACTGATGGGCAAATTAGTATAATGAAATATGAACCACGGTTTGCACTATAATTTCATATTTGAAACTAGTTCATTTTGCATCCATAAAACCTTACGTGACTTTTTTTTTCAATCATGATTGCAACTTAATCAATTAACTATCAAAATTAAACTTAAAAACTTTAATTAGTATTCCAGGTATAGCTTAAACTGACAGGATATTATCAATATAACTTGTTAAATTTTTAGTTTTCTCTTTAAACCTTAACTCTACAGCAAACTTTTTAGTTGTCTTATACCAACAATATGATTAGGT